CAACCAGCGCGACGCCAGGGTTGGCAACCTGAATCTGCGCGACAGCGTTCTTGAACCCGACCTCGACAGCCTCCAAACAATCACCTTCCAGCACCCGGATACGGGCAACCAGATCAGCACGAGTGACTAACCGTTGATCTCCCTCAGTCTCGTCCTCGGCCGGACGAAGTGCGCTGTCCAAAACATCCATACAAACTTTCAGCGCCTGCACCTCGGTCGTTGCCTCCCCCAACTTCTCCTCCAACGAGGTCACCTTCCCCTCGGCGTCCTCTGCTCGTTTGCGCTGGTCAGCGACATCCTTCTGACTCTTCTCCAATTCCTCAGTAAGCTTGGCCAACCGCGATTGCATAAAGGTAAGGTCCCCCTGCAATTTGGACAACTCGGCGGCGGAACAGCCCTCCTCGTTCAGCACAAGAGCCGTCGTGAATGTCCGCATCATCGCAGTCAAATCCTCCGCCAGGACACGTCGACGAGACTCTCGATCGGCCTGGCGGACAGCCTTCACCTCCCCAGCGGAGACGGTAGGAGATCGAGCACCATGAAAATAGCCCGGATGCTGATGGCAAGGCGGGACGACGTAACCTTCCTCGGCCGAGCCGACCGTCAGATCTACCAAACCGCGGGGCTCCTCGGATCTCGGCCTTTTCGCTGCTCCCTGAGACGTAGGAGACTGACTCCCTTGAGGCGAAGAAGACGAACTCTGCCCTCCCGGCGTCGCAACCTCCTGTCCGACCAACTGACTCACCCGCGTCCTCGGGACCGCGGCATTCCTGGTAGCGCGCAACTGCTTCACCCGCTCCTCGACAGAAGACATGTTCGCTGCAAAAACAAAGAAAGAGTTAGCAACAGCCAGAACCCCGACCACGGGGAGAAAAGAAACATCCCTACCTAGATAATCCAGAGCGGCCGCCCCGGTTGCGCAACCGAGCAGGGTCTTGGTATTAATCAGTCGCTTCTTAGTGCGCATATTCCCCTGCGCGTCAAGGATATACCGACCATCGGGCGTCACCAGCTTCGACGGAGGAAGGGCCCGCACAAAGGCGACTATTTTCAAATAAGCGGCCATATCTTTCTCGTCGAGGGTCCCCGCCCTTACGATATACCTATTCGTACCTCGGTTGAAATGCTCCGCGGTCCACAACAGATGTATCTTGGGAAGCCACGCGAGGAACCGCTGGCCGTCTACCACTCGCTCGCCCTCGGTGAAGAGAGTATTCGAGCCCTGCTGAGTGATCGGTTTAAAGAGGAAGAACCGACCTTTGAAATCTTTAACGGAATCACTATACGCCTTGAAGAGCTTGGTCGACTGTTTAAATGAAACTCATCCCTGGCGGCCGTTCACCGACTGGCGCTGTAAGTGGAAGATACGGAAAAACAACGGCACCGTGGGCTCCACCTCGAGGTAGAAGCACACCACCTCGAAGGCACGGATGAAGGCCAAGGCGTTGGGGTGCAGTTGGGACGGGGCCAAGCGCAACCAATCAAAGAGCCCCAGATGAAAGGCGGAGAACGGTAACCTGAGCCGAGCCTCTTTGAAGTAGAACTCGTGCATAGGAAACATCCGCCGCCCATACCGCAAGCAGATGCGATGGTGCTCCTTCGGGCGATACACCTGCCAATGTTGCGGCTCCCCGACAGGCGTATCCTCGACGGTGGCATAGACGTCGGACGCATCGGCCACGAAGCAGGACGGGGTAGTCAGCGGCTCCTCGGCCACCCACTCCTCGACCGGGGTGACGCGCTCGTCAAAATCCGGGACCTCGGGTTCGTTGTCTTCGACCATCGTCCCCGGTACCAAAGCCGACATCTACACTTGAAAAGCAGAGGACAACGGTGAATTCGATAGCCAAGATCAAATCCACCCTTCCACCGCAGGTCAAGTGAAAGGGCGACAAAGGCCAGAGAACGGCGAGCAAACATACGCTCCCCGCCGATCCTCTTCGGGGCGTCCGAAAGCCAACCCATCGTCCCTCCGCGGAACGGCCATCGGAAAAAACGCGCGTCTCTGGGGCATTCATCGGAAAAAGCGTGTGTCCCCGGGGCATTCATCGGAGAAAGCCCCCGTCCTCGGGACATTCATCGGAACAACCGATTCTCCCCGGGAGATTCATCAGAAAATCGCCAGATACGGCGGATCTTGTGTCCCTCCGCGGGGCATTCATCATGCCCCGACCACACATTCTAATCAAACGGCGGAAGTAAAAAGAAGAGAGAAAGAAAAACTTACTTGTAACGGCGGCGAACAGGAGGAAGAACCGAACGGTGCGGCGACGATCGACAGCAACGGCGGACGGGCAAGGATCTCAGAGCGTCGCAGGTAACACAGCAAAGTGAAAAGTAGAAAAATGAGCGGGGACCCCCATATTTATAACCCGGTGCGAGATTCGAAGCGGCGCTAGGCTCATTAATGGCCTAGGGTAGCCGCCCCTACGACCGCTTAACGCGCGACACGTGGCGGCAACCTGACAATCGCGCCCCTTCACCTGCCTTCACCCCGCTCCGCCGACGACGGGAGACCCCCGCGCAAGCGCCCGTTCCACCGTGCATAAACCCCGACGAACCTCCCGTTTCGCTATCTCTCTCCCCGACATAGCGACCTTAAGTCCTCGCTCTTTCCCAGAACTTCGACTTGGGGGGCTCCTGTTCTGGTCTGGGCCCGACCTCGGCCCAGCCCAATACGACACACGACCCAATAAGCGAATTGGCCACGCCGGGCACGCGCGTCCCGCAGGACGGGCAGAACACGCCACCGGACACAGGCGACGCGTCCTGCAGCATCTCGTCGTTCCCTCTTATCGGCCGAACAGGACACAGCCCGGTGCATCGAAGCGAGGCCTTGGTTCCTCCCCAACCTCGCGAGCTCCCCTCCGCGGGGAGGACAACGTGCCCGGCGCACGTTCTCCACGTGCTCCCCTCCGCGGGGACACGTCATCAACCAACTGCCCACCTCCGAAAGAGCAGGTCAAACCCACCTTCCGGAGATCTAGGAGCAGTTGGACTAGGGCGAAGACCACGTCCTGGTCTTCACTACGCCACGTAAGCCCTAGCAGTCATTAGGGTTGGGTCTGGTCATCCAGCCCATCTCAAATGACCGTTGGCCCAGCGCTGGGGTCTCTCTATAAATACCCTCTTCCTCAAGAGGGTCAGGTAATTCACTTCTTACCCAATTTCTATACTTTGCTCTCGCTCTGCCCAGTTCCTTACTTTGGCATCAGAGTGTTTTGCAGGTATACCTCCCTTTTTTCTCCTCAGCACCGGTGAGCACGCAGCAGTCCAATAGAGTGTGGCCGACCCGTGATCCCCTTCTGATCAGGTAGATCAAAAATCATATAATTTTTTGAAAAGATAACTTTCAAAAATATTTTTTATGAAAAGTTTAAGTTATTTTTTGAAATGTTAATTATAATAATATATATGAAATATCTAAGATAATATTTTATAAAAAAATATTTTTATTAATTTTTATTTGAAACTTTTTAAAAAATGTTTGTAATTTTAAAATAAAAATTATTTTAAAAAAGTTGAAACATATGGGCAATGTCTACATGATAGAGAGTACATATCCAAATATTAAAACTGATCATTTTGTCTACTTAAATAGTTTTTTTCTTATTTCTCCAAACAAATATCGAAATATTGATAATATAATTTAAATGCATATTTAATGAGTATCAATCCAAATATTAAATCGAATACTTCTTTATAATTTATAGTTTTTATTTCCCTTTAAAATAAATCAATAAATCAAAATATTTCAATGCATATCACTAGGGCTGGAAATGAGTCGAGTCGAGTCGAACTCACCTCAGCTCGGCTCGACTCGTTAAGAATTGTTCGAATTCGAGTTCGAGTTCGAGTTCGACACGAACTTTTTTTTAAGCTCAAACTCGACTCGTTATAAGTTCACGAACAGTTCGGTCCGACTCGTTAGGTTCATCTCATTAGGTTCAGCTCACATGGTTCACGAACTTAAAAACTATTTTTTTAAATATATATATTTTTTAGTATATTTGACATTTTAAATAAATATATATTTTTTAAATAAAATATTAAAATAAAATAAAAGTTATCATATTGAAATTTAACTTTATCTTCGAAATCTACTAATTCAAAACCTACACAACTTTCAAGAGATACATTTGAGAGTCTAATTCAAAAACTACTAAATTGAAGATTAAATTTGTCTAAGATTTGAAGTAAATATTTAAACCTAATCTTAAAGACAGTATAATTCTTTTCATATGTAATCGAGTTGACTCATGAACCTAACGAGTCGAACTATGTATAGTTCAAGTTCAGCTCATTTAGTTAACGAACTTAATTTTTCGCTCATACTCAACTCATTTGGTTCATGAACCTAGTTCAACGATTTAATTGTCGAGTCGAATTCCGAACTATCTTCGAGTTGGTTTGGTTCATTGCCAGCCCTACATATCACCCTACCAACTATATCATTTAGCAATGAAAACTTAGCAGAAAAAAAATCAATAAAAAACAACAAAAAGAACAAATGACTCCAGATAATGCCTTGGAAAAATACAAGAATCAGCCAGAAACAAAAACTGTTCAAAGAAAGTTAGCTGCAAACTTCATCACCAAATAGAGAGCAAGCGCTTCGCAGTGAAGAAAGCTCTTGACAGGCTGCCACCAATGAAACAGCATCTGCCACGTGTCATAACCCTAGAAGCTCATCAGCCTATGCATTAGATTCTCAAAAATGGGTGATGTCATGTCATCAATCATATCCAAAATCTATGTTTCCTTTTGTAGAAAGGTCACTGTTATAAAAAATAACACAAATACTAAATTGATCACTTCAACTTTTTTTCTTAGTTTCCAAGTCAAGAGTGACGTTTGAGATGACGCTTTCATGCAACTATACTTCAATATACAAATCATAAAACCTCTTTTAAACCCTTAGAAAAAATACACACTCCAAAACTATTCACAAAAACATAAGAAGGAACTTAGTTGTATACTCCGTCAGTAACAGAAAGCGTATGAAGATTGATACTGTTTCTGGGTCAGTTTTTTTTTTGTTTAAATTCATCTCAAGCAATCTATAGTTGAAAATGGATTCTGTGGGCTTATTTCTTGATTATATAGTATTTTTTCTTTGTGAATTTGCTTATGTTTTTCTGAATGAGTAAGTTTAGATTGATGTATTAGAATAGGCCGAGCGAAATGAAACATGATGGAATGGAGAGAATCTTATTGGAACTGAGATTCCATTATATTGTTTGTGTTTTCTATTTTTTTCTTTTAATTTGACGGAATAGAAGTATACACTCCAAATTAAGGAAATGAAAATTGAAGGATTGTCATATTTCATCATGTTTCATTCCGTTCCATCTATAATTTGCAAATCTAAACAATGAAATTTCATTTCATTTCATCGCATTTCATTTCATTTCATTTCATCGCATTTCATCTATCCAAAGATACCCTAATAGAAAGTTAACAAAAAGATTTATGTGTATTTGCTTGTTGAAATGGCTGCAGAGAAAGGAAATCACGCAAGAGACGCAGTAGTGGAAGAAGGGACTCAGTGGAAGATACTCTTGAGAAGTGGAAGAAATACAATAAGCAACAGCAACAAAAGCTTGGTTGTGGAGATAATGGAGCTGAAAAGATTCACAAAGCTCCTGCAAAAGGTTCAAGAAAAGGGTGCATGAGAGGAAAAGGTGGTCCTCAGAATTCAGATTGCAATTTCAGAGGAGTTAGACAGAGGATTTGGGGTAAATGGGTTGCAGAGATTCGCGAACCTATCAATGGTAAACATGTTGGTGAGAAAGCAAATAGGCTTTGGCTTGGTACTTTTTCTACTGCACATGAAGCTGCTCTTGCTTATGATAAAGCAGCTAAGGCTATGTATGGACCTAGTGCTCGTTTGAACTTTCCTAATGGATTACCACCACCTTCATCATCAAGTGGTGGTTCTGTTGATTCATTGAATGGTGAGGAGGATCTTGCAAAAGTTGTAGAGTTGGAGGGTAATCTTAGTCAGTCTGATGAAGAGAATAAGATTCTTTCTGAAGATTTTGTTGCTGATGACGACTCAGTCGAGGTATTGAAGGAAGGGAAAATAGCTGGCACTGTCCAATGTATAACCAATAAGAGATGTAAGAAAATTGTTCATCAAGAGCCCTACAAGAATGTTAAATCTGAAACACGTGGAGAGAAAGAATGGCTAGAGAGTGAATCAGAGAAGGTTTTGGAGAATTCTGGCATGGGTGGAGAGTGTTATCATGTACAGGAGGAGTATATAGATTTAGCCCTGAACTCAGGAGCTGATTGTGGATCTTTTGATATAGCAGAAAATGGGATTCTGGTGAAGACTGAGGAAACAATCAGAGGATCAGTGGAGGATTTGGAAACCTTTGAGTTGAACTGCAACAACAATTTCCTTGGAAACCTGCACAATATGCTTCCAGATATCAATCCAAGACCAGATTCTGAGTATTCTAACATCAAAACCGTCGCTTCTCTTGCAAAGAAACATAAGAATAGAGATTCTGATGAGATGAAAAATGAGCTTAAGGGATTGGAATGCAAGCTGAGAGGCCAATCTATTGATTGCAATAATGATGAGGCTCAGAGATTACCTTGCGTGCAGGGAATTCATTTGTTTGGTGGCGGCAGTGTTGGACCAGTTGAAAGAATGTCCCAAGTTGAGGCTTTGAACATCAACACTAATAAAAGCACTAATTTAAAAGAGAGAGGAAATAATGGAAGTGCACCTCATGGATTGAGTTCAGGGCAAAGTAGGAAGCTGAGTGATCTTTCTCAACAGCTGCAGAAGTTAGGTGGTTACTTGCCTGAAAATTGGAATAATATGCAGTTTGCAGATCTTGAAGTTGGTTATGATTATAGTTTCTTAAAACCTGATTATGATTTTGGCTTACTAGAAGAGCAAAAGTTGCTAGATATATGTTTTTCACATATAGGATCTTAAAGTTTCTTGGTACTTACATGGTTTTTTGTTTTTCACTTTGGTGGGGTTATTTGTAGGAGGGTCTTTTTTCCCCACCCCGGTGATTCTAATAATACCATGTTTCTGCTTTTTATTCAGCATCTCAGTACTGTAAAGATGCTCTGTGTACTATGAATTTTCCATTGAATTATAATTATAACTATGATGCCCTTTTGTACTTTTTGGAAGACACTTTTTAACATGATACACTGCCAATCCATAATATGAACTTCATGTACCCTTTGGTCTCTAAAATGGTCTCTAAAATAATAACTCTTATTACTTTGGTTGTCTAAAGCCTCCTAGTTTGTCATTTCCCTTTCAAAATTTATCTTTAGTCTCATAAAGGAGCACATCACATGACATGGTATAGGCATTCATGTAAGCAATTGATGTACCACATGGCCTTATACATGCATAGAATCAAATTATGAAGACACTAGAATGATTTGTGAAGAAATTAACATATTTAGATATTTATTTACAGAAACCTTCAGGAACCAAGGCAACACATTCATATTTACTAAATAATATATTTCCTAAAGAAAAGAAACTAAGACCCTCTAACCTATTGTCAGTGAAGATTAAATAGACAATACTAATTTTTCCTAGAAAGACTTTATATTTATATAAAATATAGAAGAATTTACAGAGCACATGCCATTACCCGACACCTAGCTCTAAGATGCAGCTTCCTTCAGCTATGAAAATTGCAAAATGCCAGAAAGTTATAAGATTTGACTTCTATGCTGCAGCTTCCTTCTTTAAACAATTTTCTCCAACCCTGTGCTCATTTAGCCATTCAAACTCTCCTTGTTTCAGAAAGATTTTGGCATTTGGTTTTCAGCAATTTCTGCCACATTCTAACAAAATATTAGTCCAGTACTGCTACTGGATTCTCTGGGTGCAGGAATTTAGCAGGAGAGGATGCAAAGTCTGTATCCTCATATTGGATCTCCTGAAAATCAGTCTTCTGCTCCATCTTTATACCATATCACATCCCATGGGCCGCTTCTGCTGCTTAATCTTAAAAAATAAAAAATAGACATTTTATCTCTATCAAAATCTTTTCATGTAACCCAACAAGTATCCTGCTTTCTCCCCAAACCCAGTAGGATTGATATAGACAGAAAAAAAAAAAAACTAATGACCGAGATTCAAGACATCGTGTCAATTCCATTTAAACCAATGTCTCCTGTATCATTCTACCATTTCTGGTTGTGCTGGGATCAAAATATGAATAGTACAATGCATTTCCCGTAAAAATAAATTATACACTTTACCTCCAAACTCCAGCTAGAACACGCAACATCATGAAGAGAAACAATCCTGTCCAGATTCCAGGAAGTCCAACTACTGGAGCGGCCACCAGCATGAAAATTGAAGAAATTAATCCAACCAGCACCTGCAAAAGCCAAACAAAATAAGTAAGAAAGAGGGGGGAAAAGATGGAGTACAAAAGAAAATCAGTTAAGAGAATGAAACAACTTGAAATGTTTAAGCATCTCATAATCATTGAAGTAGATAATTACCATCGAGTAAGCAGCATATTCAAAGTCTGATACCCCATAATAAATCCCATCAATAACAAATGCTAAAGCATTCACTGGTTGAGATCCAGCAACGAACTGCACACATGGGTAAGTTTCAGATACTTCAAACAACATTTTACATATATCCACGGACAGAATGGAGAGTAAAACTACATACAACAAACATTAAATATCACCATTAAAAGGTTGGCTTGGCTGTTTTTATAATAGTTAATAATTAGTAGCAGTTATGTAATAGTGTCTATATATGTATTATGTCTGTTGAGATCTTTTCTACAGAGAATATTCAATAAACTTCTATTTTTATTCAGTAAATACATTTTCGATACCAGTTTCTATCAGATTCAACAATGTTGTCGACGGCGGAGAACCACAAATCTTCCATATAAACATGCCATTGTGGCCTATGGCACCGCCATGGCTGTCATTCCTTCATAAACTGCCTATGGCGGTTGTCCAAAAGTCTCCCACATCACGGTGGTGCCATGGCAGCCATTTAACAACACTTGGATAAATCTATATAAAATGAATATCAATCTGAATCTAAACATAAATTTCAATTAAAAAGTAAAAAGATATCCAAATGAAGCTCATTTCAACTCATAGCCTGCGACAATCGAGCAGCTATTGAAAGCAATTCTCAACAAAAAATTGTGATTTCTTACCCATATACCTGACCGAGTAACATCCAGAACTTCCGAGTCTGAGCTAAATAAGGTAGAAAATGCTCCAAACCCAACAAATAAGATAATCGACAAAGTGATTCCAGCTCCTAAACCAATCTGCTAGAAATGTAGAAGGAAAGGAAAACGGAGGAATTATGAATCAGTATATGTCCTAATCTGATAATAAAGGGAAGTGGTTTATGGGGATAACAACAACTCAATCAGTAACCTGTATCACTCTATATATGACGAGGCGTGCTTGCTCGTAATTTCCCAGTGAGTAACTACTGGCAAGAAGAGCCTGCAAAATACATGCATAACATGTCAAAAAGTTTCCATCAAATACATTGCACCCATTAATAATTTTCAAACAGTTTGTTTGTGTCTGATTTCTAAAGAATAGGATTCCACTTTTGGTAGACTTTGGAGCACCTCTATCATTTTAAGAAGTATAATACACAACCAATTCTTTCAAAACTTGTCATTTCCCAACTGTTTTTTTAATAAGTATATTGGAACTTTTTGCTAATGTCATTTTAGTATCGTGTGGAATGGAAAAATATGGATTTTGTCATGCAATATGGGACAGTATTTTCAGCCGTGCTAAGAAAGTTGGATAACTTCTCTCTTGTCAGCGAACATTTCAAACTTGATGATACCCAATTTGTTTGATTTAAAGGTCAGGGAGAGCCCTTTAATATTCAACATACTGCACTTCGACATTATTAAACTGTATTTTTCTGGATTCATGTGATTTGCAAACTGGATGAGCTAAACTGCCTATGTTATATCCACGCACCAAACCCATAGTGTTGGGTGTGAGGGGTGTGTTAAGAGTCTCATCGGACAATATATGGCATGAAAATATGTTTTAGGGTCGTCTTAAGTTTTTGAAGGCCCTGTGTAGGTTAGCCACATTTCAACTATGGCAAAACAAATAGAGGTCATATTTATCCACAGTTTAACCGTGACAATTACATTATAAGGCCCTATTTAACTATGGTTTAACCGTGGTAAATTTGAATCTTATGCACGCCCTTAAAACGCTTTTGTTTATAAGTGGAGAAATCTTCACCTTACAAGTCGGTTTTACAAGAATGAGTTAGACTCAACCACAATTCTAAAATGGTATCAGAGTCCGGTCAAAGATTTGTTGGGCCACCTGCTATCAGGTCAACATATGTTTATAAGTGGAGGCAAGCCTCACTTTACAAACTAATTTTGTAGGGATGAATCAGATCCAAGCACAATTTGAGAGTATATATCGGAATTAATTAAATGACCCTTTATAAGCCAATGCAATAGTATGATCCAACCTGACCAGCCAGTGCCAGAGCATCGGTGAGCAAAGAAATAGACAGCCAAACTTGCATGCAAATTTCATGGCCTGCCATAGGTATAGGGCCCTGCTTAGCTGCCAAAGATGTTGTGAGTGTCATAGTTATAAACACAGCCAAAGTCCTGGCAATTAGAAGACCACCTACAAAATGCAATAATAAGAAGTAAAAATTAATCTGCAGTACTCTTTACCTTGCATGTCTCTTTTGTCAAGAAATAGCTGTTAACCAAGTAAAACATTTTCAAGACAACGAACATCATATTTTGTTAAAATTGCAGAAGTATGCATTGTTATAATTCATTCATCAACAACAAAAATTTCCCACTAGATGAGGTTGGTAACAAGGATTACATGATGTGATAATTTCATATATCATGTTTGGTACTATTTAAGCATATAATCAACAAAAGCCAAAAGTTATGTTAGTCACTTGTATTTAATTGATTCATTTTAAGAATTAGATAATGTTGAGATACTCAGTGAATAAAATTTAAGATCAGCTCTTAAGCGCAGTTGAAGTGTGTCTAGGAAAACTTCAAAGATATAATGCTAAAACTATTCAATAACTTTCCAATAAACTATCATCATTTCATTATCATTATTAATTTCTTTGAAGGACATGGACAGCCAAAAAAACAATTCAACTAGATTGAAAAGCACGTACCAGATTTCAGATAGCTGAAAAATTTTATTCCGTCGAAGTCAAATGGGATTAGCAGCACTTTACCATTCAAATTCCATAGAAGAATAAAAGCTATTAAATATCTGGTGAAAGAAAAGAAAAATTATGTTAAAAGCAGACGATCACATGAATTAAAGGACATGTGCAAAATGCACATATAGTATTAAGTTTACCGCACTCCCGACATACTCAGAGATCACTGTAGCAATTGCAGCACCACTTATGCCAAGACCACAAAGAAATATTAATATTGGATCCAGTATGACATTAAGAAAGTTTCCAGCACCTGACATGTCAAGATAAGCTTTTGTCATTTATACATCCAGAAAATCTTTTACCTAGAATTCAGCACTGGCAGGGCTGCAGGGAGCATTTTGTGGAATATAAAGATGTAAAAACAAGCAATTGACAGCTCATAGAGCAAAATAGTAATAAACTAAGAAAACGGTCACACAAATTGGCAGAGGATCTGCTTGTTATTCTACGGAGAGAGAAAAAAAAGTAAAGTAAGAAAACGTCATTCATTCATTATTCCTTTTAGTAAAATTGTGTTGAGCCTGCATATAATATAGTTGGCCAAGAAGGTCTTTACCATGAATTTGAGATGTTTAAATGATCCTATTGTCGACAAAGTCAAAATTTTCTTGAAAGTATAAACAGCAGATATTATGGTTTCAGCAATTATGTCAGCTATGCAATATTCATTACATATTTTCCATGGATCATCTCTGCCAAGGATACTTATTTATAATTCAAATTTACAAAACCTGTACAATTTTGTCTCTTTTATTTATTTATACATATTTCAGAGGCATGCTACGTGTTCATTTTTGGATAAATTGAACTATTTAAAGGCTATAAGTGATTGTAACTGGAGTCCACTGTATGCAACTTATAAGTAAATGGAGAGAAAGAAAAGGAGGGAGGGAGAAAGCTGCTGCAATACTTGCCAACGGCATATAGAGGCGTCTTTGTATCCTTAAATCCACGAAAAGTGCCTTGTGCAGCTAATGCAATCACAATTGGTAGAGCCCCAAAAGCCCTCAATGTAAGAAAATGCTCGGCAGGTCCTCGCATCGGAGAGTCCTGTACAGCATACAAAGTAAAATTCATTTATATAAAAATGACATACCCATGAAGAGCAGTAGAAACCTTTTTCTTTTTTTATAACCTCAAACCAACAATAAAGCAACAAAGGCCATGATATATTTCTTGTCATGCATAGCATAGAACTGATTACTGATGAATGTGATGCATAACTGTAAATTTCTAATGATTGCTAACATTTCACAAATTGGTTACAAATGAATAATTAGCTTTCAGACCACAACTACAGAATGCAATTAGACTTGAAAACTATGCAAAATTTTTACACAACTAAAAGTTAGGCAGGAGAACCATCTCCAGCACAAATAAAAAGCTCTGTTTAAAATAAAACACAGTTTTACACCTAATTTCATTTTTTTTTCATCTCAATATTTCCATGCTTCATGAAAACTGAAAACAGTTATGCACTACCACTAGAGATCATAAAATGTTGGGGAGAGAAAAAATTCATTTGTAATTATACCGATAAAACAATTTCATAAGCAAAATCAAATTAAATTCAGAATATCACTGTCAATTAAGATGGGTTTTGTTGTTTTGTACATAGAAAGATAGATCTAAGCTGGTTAAATAACTATGCATCTAGTATTTGCAACCAGCAATTTTTATTTATTTATTTCATTTTCTTTGTTTTGGGTTGGCGGGGTTGTTTTTCGTGGTAAATTACAGACTTAGAAGAAATTCAAACATGAAGAAAGAGAATACAAAAACTAGGCAATATATGGATCAATAAACAGCTTTGACATACAACAGCTATACCCATGATAGTCATAAGAGTGCCAGAGCCAAGTGAAAGTGCTACAGTTTCAGCAATTCCAAGAGCCGCAGCAAGTCCTAAAGATGTAGATACTGAAGAAAGGAGCTTCTTGCGTTGGAACATGCCTGAGAAATTTTCCATAACTACATGAGACCAAAACCATCCGTAGATACATTTGATCAAGAAAACCTATAATCATATCCAGGAAAACTAGACATCCTACCGAAAAAACTGTGAAACCATTCATGAAAATTTTCATACCATTTTCCTCAGTCCCACCAGAATCTTCCTCCTTTCCAATCAGCGCTTGCTCCTCGGCAACAAAGGATGTAGTAATATTAAGTAGAGGAACATTGAATACTTTCGACGCTAGATTAAACACAGAAGCTGAAACCCCAACTGCAGCTAGTTCAACAGCTCCTACATATTGAAAACTGATTAACCAAGAATTTTTTCCGCAACAACAACAACTCTAAAACAAACAAACAAACTCATACAAAACCCAACCATCATCATCATCATCATCAAAATAAAAACTAAAATCATTAAATTAATTTCCATGTAAGTACCTATGTGTCCAACGAACGCCGTATCGATCAATGATGCAATCGGGTCAGCTGCCAGTGCAACAGCAGCAGGTAAAGCAATGGACAGCATCTCCATTCCAAGTTCATCAAATTTAAACCAACCATTTCTGTTCAGTATTCATAACCGAATAATCAATCTCGAATGCCCTAGTAACTAAAGTAAGTACATAACTTAAATAGTATATAATCATGAATCAAATTCAGAATCACAATTACGCATAAACAAATCATTGGCGAAAAAATTGATCAAAAGGTACCTGAATTGAGGAAGTAGAGAAGGGGGTTTAGGGGGTAGAGTATCAACAGAATCATCATCAGTGATGGGATTCTTGTTGTGAGGAGAAGCTTTGAGTGAAACACGAAGTCGAAGACGTGGAAAGTAATGAGGAGGAGGAGGGGTTCTGGTTAGTGTTGTTGGAGAGTTGAATGGTGTTGGGGATTTGAAAGGAGGAATGCAATTGCAAAGAAAATGCGTAGAAGAAGACGCCATTATTAATTTGGGAGGGAGCATGACATGAGAAGAATGAATATCTAAGTTACAATTGACAAAGCAGAGCCAAACAAAGCATAACCGTATATTTACTTTTTATTTATTTGTTTAATTCGAAATTTCAACGGATACGTGTATTTCTTTGGCTCTTAAATTAAAATCAATATTTCTTTGGCTCTTAAATTAAGGTTTTGGTAACTTACAATTTCGAGCATTTATTTTATTAGTTTATATTTTATTTTTTAAATTTTATTTTAAATAGTATTGTAGTTGATAGTTTATCATCTTTTCTTTTATTTTTATCTATAATTTTTTAACAAAAATTCTTTTTAATTTTTTATAATTTATTTTAGTTTAAAATAAAATAAATATGTATTAAATATTTTTTATATTATTTTATATTATAAATTAGTTAAACATTTAATTTTACCAAATACTTCAATTAACTTATTAACTATCAATCATTAATCATCCATTATAGATATAAACCATTGATTATCAGTCATCAAGCATAAGTTATAAGCTTGCTTATTTTTAATTTGAAAAATGTTATTTTGAAATTAAATCTTACACCTATGTCGTATATAGTTCAACATGTAGTTATACATAAGGGGGACAAAACGGGTCGTGGACCGTCGGGTCAGTCCGCACACCTGTTAAAAAATGGCAGGTTGGATTGCGATTTTGCGTCCGCCGCCCACTAAAACCCACCCCGCTAAAGATCCCCACTAGTCAAAATTTGCTGCCCGCGAAAATCCATTGCACCTATTTGTTCAGTTTGTCACACCTTAAACTCGTCTTTTTTTAGTTAATTCTAATAATTTTAATTCTTGATAATTTTATTTTATACATTTATTTGAGAATATATGCAATATTTTTTAAAGTAAAATTTGTTTAAAATATGGTTTATAAAAATTGTTCTAAAAAACAAATGAAAAATTTAATTGAAATGTGAAAACAGACCTATTAATCTATTAAAAAATAAAAAATAAATAAATAAAAAAGTAGGCAGGCAAGTCCACCGCTCGCCAATCCGCCACCTTAGCGGACCAAGTTAGATTTTTAAACTCATTTTCACTTGGCGGGCTTACCCGACGCGTCCCTCTCAAAAGATAGATAGAGTGTTTTTAATTTTTAACGTATCTCTTGTGACTTTTGAGTTATTTCAGAATACATTGAAAAGTAGCATCCAAAAATAATTGCGACCTATAAATAAAATATATAGATAGATAATAAATTTTTCTATTATTTCAAAATAGTTGTGACTTATAAATAAAATATATATTTTTAAATTTCCATCATAACAATAATATATAAATTTAATAATAAATAATTATCAAAATTACATAATATCTAAAATAAATATTAACACAAAAGTAATATATATATATATATATATATATATATATATATATATATATATATATATATATATATATATATATATATATATATATATATATATATATATATATATATATATATATATATATATATATATATATATATATATATATATATATATATATATATATATATATATATATATATATATATATATATATATATATATATATATATATATATATATAAAGTAAAAAAATATTGTATATATTTTAAATCAATTATTTTAAATCAAATATTTTTAAATTAATTATTTTAAATTAAATAGTCAAAATTATCCCTAGTTTTTGAAGGTTGAATCGGTGTAATCTAATAATTTTAATTGTTTTTATTTTATAAATAATATTAATATCAATTAGTTTAATGAAAATTGATGACCTATATTTAAAACCCTAAGTTGTAATGGGATAGATCTAATAGTTGAGTAAGAGTAAGAGAAAAAAAAATCATAAAGTAATATATAAATTTTATAATGAGTAAAAATTTAATCTAATAATTTTAATTAGTTTTTATTTTATAAACAACTAGCGTACAGACGGACACACGCGTGTCCGTCTGTTCGCTTTTTTAATGTACACGTATAAAAACTTAAAATATCTTCTAGTAACATATAATAGAATAATTGTTATTAGATTGCGTGTGTGACAAATTAGTCAGTTTCCCAACCAAATTGTGATATCTTCTAGTATCAACATGAACATTACCTTATCCCCAAAGTTTAGAATTAGGATCCATACGAGTATTTGTAGGATGGCATCCACTTATTCTTGTTTCTTTTAATAAGTTTATAATGTATTTCTGTTGTGAAACCACAATACCCATTCTTTGACCGAGCAACCTCCATATCTAGAAGATATCTCATGAATCTCAAGTTCTTGATTTCAAAGTCTACTGTCAATTTTTCTTTTAACCTTGTTATTTCCATCGTATCGTCTCCAGTAAGGACAATATCATCAACATAAATAATTAGAGCAACAACTTTCCTATCGTGGGAGAACCTGGTGAACAAGGTGTGGGCAGCCTGTCCTTGAATGTACCCTTGTTTCTTCATGGACTGAGTGAATTTTTCAAACCAAACTCTGGGAGATTGCTTTAATCCATACAAAGACTTATTTAGTTTGCATACATTTGATCCAAATTTGTTTTCAAATCCATAAGGAATGTCCATATATACTTCTTCTTCTTCTAGGTCACCATTAAGAAAGGCATTATTAACATCTAACTAATGTAAGGGTCAATCCTGGGTAGCAGCCAGAGATAAAAGAATTCTTACAATGTTCAATTTTGCAATAGGAGCAAATGTATCTGAGTAGTATATACCATAGGTCTGAGTAAAACCTTTAGCCACCAAGCGAGCGTTGTACCTTTCAATTTACCCATCTGAATTATACTTCACAGTAACACCCATTTGCATCCATCTGTCTTCTTGCCATCTGGTAGTGATGTAACACTTTAAGTTTTATTCTTTTCAAGAGCTTTCATCTTCTTAAGTACAACTTCCATCTACTTTGGAATTTCTAGAGTAACCTGTACACTTTTTGGAATTTCTACATTAGACAATTTTAAGGTAAAGGCAGACATAGATGAAGAAAATTTTGAAAATGATATAAAATTGAACATGGGGTGTTTAATGCAAGATCTGACAGGTTTTCTAATGACAACGGAATCATCTATATCAGGACACAAAATATGACTCTCAGAAATAGAGATAGACTTACCTTTCCTTTTGTTAGGAGGTCGTTCATTCCCGATTCAAATTCCTGATAGTGTTGAGATGTGGACTCGTCCTTTCCTTTATGTTGTTATTCACAAAAATCTTCCCTTTCCAAGTCTAGTTTTCTAATTCAAATATGTTTTAAAAATTCTGGCCAGCCCACGATGGATGTTCTAACAGAAGTTATAACATCCACTGTGACATTCACTACAGACCTATTATTATGCAGTACTTAAAGCAGTAAATAACACAGTTGGTTGTTGACCCAGTTTAGTGCAACACACTTACATCTGGGGGCTACCAAGCCAAGGAGAAATTTCACTATCAGTAGAATTAATTCAGAGTCAAACCTCCAGTTTGCACTCCTCACTTAAAACCTACCCAGTGACAATTTAACCTAGAGACACTCTAGACCTGAGTATACCCACTCATTCCCTATAATCACACACAAGTGATATCAACCAGTTACAAATTAAACCGTAGAATGTAGAGACACTTCAACTACACACACACCTTGATCTTGCTTCAAAGCTTTGATCAAGTGACACACACTCTTGCTTAACAGGTCCGAGTGGTACACAGCCTAGAAACTACCTAACCAATGCAATCAACAGTTGCTTGGATTACAATTGTTCCTAAGACACAATCGTGAAGAACAACCTCTTCACTTCTAAACCACTATGGTGATTTCTCTGCTTCTCTATCTCCAACTGCTGCCTTCTAGGATTGCTTCTCCTGGTATTTATAGCAACAGATCAGTCCTTGGGCCTGGGCGCATAAGTTAGGTTTTATCCATCATAAAACATCTCTTTAGTATTATGCACGTTTGCCACTTTAATCAGGTACATATTAGTTCCCCTAGGGCGTCTAAAATGTCTCCTGCATTCCAGCTTGAGCTTCTGAGTTGTTTCCTGAGTTCTAGCTACCAGAATAACAAACTTCCGATTGATGTCATACGACCTATGTCTTAACATTGATTATGACATCCAGCTTAACTTATAGTTAGCTTAGTTAACTTACCCTGCACAGTCCATATTATGAATGTAACAACATCAAACATGACATTCATACATGTACTCATATTTTGCCATAAAATGCAGCCAATCAAGAGCACTTACAAACTCCCCCTTTGATAAATTTTTGGCTAAAACACTTTGTACTTACATCAGAGATTTCCTACACAGCAGAAGACTTAACATTGGTCCTGTCATGCAGGTAAGTCACTTGCTGCTCAAGCTCTCATAATCCTCACAGTTGGCTTTCAGCCCTGTTAACACTCACTTAGTTAAGTTTCTGTAGGATTCTACTACAGATGTCACCCTTTGCTAGTTGAGTAACAGAGTTACTCCCCCTCAACTAATGCACATCAGTTGTACACTTCACCTGTAAATAGCCTGCAGTCACATATATTCATCCAGCCTGCTCTGGATATTATGGCATTCAGGATAACATCCTGTCACATGGTTGTGCAACTCCCCCTGAAGGGATGCACTATGTTAAGTTGTGCAACTCCCCCTGAAGGGATGCATTCTGTTCCTTGCAGATATACACAGAACTCCTAAGCATCTTGTTAGGATCACCCATGTTAGTACCTACAGCCTGTAAGCCCTAGTTCTAACATACATGGCATACATATCATATTAGTAGCAGCTCAAACAGCTGTTATCACACACACACATATCATTAGCAGCACTTGCAGTTACACTAATATTATAAGCACTATGGTGCATATGCTCAAGTACAACTTATGACTGTCTTGTTCTTCCACCTGCTGTTACTACCACTACCACATAACTTGTGGTACTCATATTGGTTATCCACCAATTCTTCCATCTGCTGTACCTGCTCATGTTTTTATCTAACACTCTCTCCCCCTTTTTAGCCATAAATTGAGATCCAACTA